AACCGCGCTGCACTCCAGACCTTCTGCTGTGGACAAAGCAGCAGCGACGGGCGACAGCAGAAGCGGGGGAGAACTGAAAGGGATGGACCCAGGCGGAAGGGATGTGGGGTCTGCTGAAGCCTCGGGCAGGGCAGGAGAACTGGCGTCCCCCAAAGTGCTGCTAACGAGAAGGTTCTGAGCCTGCTCTAAAATCACTGAAAGTAAAGAGGAGCCGGGTGTGGTGGCTCACCCCTGTCATCCCCAGCACTTTGGGAGGCTGAGGCGAGAGGATTGCCTAAGCTCAGAGGTTCGAGACCAGCCTGGGCAACTTCACGAGCCCTCATCTCTACAATAAATAAAAAAATCAGCCAGGCATGGTGGCACATGCCAGTGGCTCCAGCTACTGGGAAGGCTGAGGCGGAAGGATCGCCAGAGCCCAGCAGGTCGCGGCTGTGGTGGCCGGGAGCTGTCCCTGCACTCCGGCCTGGGCCACGAACTGAGATTTTGACCGAAAAAAAAAAAGAAAAAGAAAAAGAAAAAAATTGAACACTAGCACCAGAGTTCATGCTGTCAACCACTGTGCTATACTGCCTCTCCCTGTACATGTGATGAAGCAGGGCCAAGCGAGAATATGGCAGAGTCCCTAAAGTTTGGGACAGATGAAATTGCTTTGTAACCTAGAAAAAGCAAGTCTCCACTGCCCCACTGAAGGCCACCATCCCCATGGCGCTCTCTCATCAAGCTCCTGGGGAAGGAAGCCCGTCCCCGCCGAGCTCCCCGCCCAGGCGGGTCAGCCCGAGGGTCACGCGTGGCAGGAGGGACCAGCTGCCGCCCGCCACCCCGGGCGTCTCTGAAGACTCGTGTCCAGCCTCCCAGAGACCGGCGGACGCCGGGACCCCTGCGAAAAGAGCCGGGGCCGCGCACTCCCTCCCGCCTCGGCCGGTCGGGCCACCGCGCTCACCGCACGCGTGGCAGGAGCAGCGAGCACCCTGGGGCCCAGGGCGAGGGCCAGGGCGCCGACGGGCCCATTTGTGATCCTCCGGCGCCACCTGGAGGTCGGCGCCGGCATCGCCGCAAGAGAAGCTCGGCTGAGGCGGTTCTGGCCTCGGGCGGCCATTTCGCTTTGTGAAGGGTCGCTTTTCCCGGCGGGACCTGAGACCAAAGCTCACAGCGGCAGGAAATGGCGGCCTGCGCAGGCGCACTCACGACGGTCGCGCGCTCGCCGAACTGCACATGCGCACATGCGTCGTCGCCGATGACAGGTTCACCCTCGCGCAGGCGCACACGTCCTGAGCCCCCTTGCCCTGATCCCGAAGGCCGGCGGTGTCGCTCTACTGCACCCCTTTTTTCTTTCCCATCCCGAGTCTGTCCATCCCAAAAAAGACCGTGAAAGCTCTAGAGCAGGTGTTGTCGACCTCAGCACTAATAACATTTTGGGCCATAGAATTCTTTTTTGTGTGTTGGGGGGTGAGATGCTGTCCTGTGCAATGTAACCTGTTAAGTGACATCCCAGATCTGTATTAAGTAGAAGTCAGTGGTGCCCCCTCCTCTAGCTGTCTCCACACTGTTACATGTACCCTAGGAGGCTGAGAGGTTTGGGAGATGCCCCTGCTTTAGAACCATTTCCCTAGAAAGGGGGTTCTCAACCCAGACAGGAAAGGAAGATCAACTGGGGAGCTTTTTAAAACACAGGAGTGGTGAATAAAAATGATATCTCAATTTCCACCTGGATCTTAGAAAGGTTTTTGTCGTATCTTGTTTAATACTTCCCAGGTAATTCTCAAGTGCAGCTAGAGTTGTGAAATGGGTCGAGAAAGTTTGTATTGCTTTTGCAAACATCAAGAAAGTGCTTCTGAGTCTGGGCTCTAGAGTTTGGGTGGATCTGGGCTCTATTCCTGGCCATGCTCCTTACAGGAGTGTGTCTCTCAGTTTCCTCCTCTGTCAGGTTGCATAATAAGCTGGATCCTTTCCCAGGTTTCTGGAGAATTAGCTGAGAACCCACAGCATGCTTTACTTGCCACCCAGCTGGAAGTGACTAGCTCTGGGTCTTGAGAATAGGCTCAAAAGACAGGATTTCATAAACTGGTTATTTGTACTTTCTTCTGTGGTTTTTCTTTTTTTTTTTCTTTTTTTGAGTTGGAGTCTCACTCCGTCACCCAGGCTGGAGTGCTGTGGCACACTGCGCATGGCCACCCCAGTGTAGACCTGCTGGCCTCAGGCAATCCTTCCGACTCAGCCTTCCAAGTAGCCAGAGCTATAAGAGCACACTACCACGTCTGGCTAATTTTTGATTTATTGTAGAGACGAGGTCACGCCAAATTGCCTGGGTTGGTCTCGAACCCACAGGCTCAGGCAATCCCCTCGCCTCGGCCTCCCAAAGCTCTGGGATGACAGTCTGAGTCATGAGCCTGGCCTGGAGTTTTTCTGAATGCCTCTTACCATAGGACTCAGCTCTGCCACTTATAAGTCCTCAGTTAAGTCCCTTAGCCTTTCTCAGTTTCCTCACCTTATCCATCTCACAGGGCTGCTAGAAGACTGCAAGGCACCTAGTGCGACACACTATAGGTGTCAGCTATTGTTACCCCTCTAATTGTTAGTTGCCAGTATCATTTGAAACAGAAAAGAGGTCATATAATACCTTAGATTCCCATTACTCACCACACTTCCAGGATCCTTGTTTAAGTAAAACAGGAAAGTGGTGTTAAAGTGCAACCATGCAATCACCTTTTGAACCCCTAATCACAGCAGGCTCTACTTGGCTTAAAACTTGAAGTAAAATCCAACTTCCTTATCATTAGCTTACTAAGGCCCTACTTCATCTACGGTCCCTCTCCCCAGCACGGCCCCAGCCACTCTATGCTTTGCAACATGCTAAATGTGTTCCCACTACGGAGTTATTAGGTTTGCAGTTCCTTATCCTCAGTTCTCCTCTCCCTGCTCTTTCTAGGGTTGACTCCTCCTACCCACCTAAGTAGTAGCCCGCCTCACTGCCATCGTTCTGCAGCTCAGCACCTGGCCATTTTCTTCAGAGCACTCATCTTCCTAGGGGGCATAGAGACCTGGGCTCCAGGCCTTTGTTTTTCATTCTAATGAGGCATAAACCTCTAGCGACTGTGGTGAGGAGTGTATGAGACACTGTGAGTAGAGGGCTGGGCACACAGTAGGTGTTCCAAAGTTAAGTACAATGTCATGGTACAAACAGGCAAGCGGCGCCTCCCTACTTGGCTGAGCCCCCCTCTTCCACCAGGACTAGGGCCCACGAGGACCCTCATGGTTGGCCATAGACAGTTACATACAGTGCCCAGGAAGCAACAGGTTCTCTTGAGCCCTTTGTATATTCTGTTCCCTCTGCTCGGAAAGCTCCTAGTCACCTTTCAAGATTCGATTCAAAAGCTACCTCCCTATGAAGTCCCCTCCCCTTGCCCACAACTGGTGTGTTGTAGCGATCTGGGCCAGCCTCTGATGGGCCTCCCAGCCTGAGCGCAGGGCCCTGTCCGATCTGTGTATTTCAGCCTCCAGCAAAGTCACATGCTGCCAGAGTGGCTGACGGAAAGAGGGTGACCCTTCCTGACTGTGGCGTACTTCCTGGCCAGAGCCAACATGGCTTGCTGGCAAGCTACCTGGCCCCAGAGACCACAGGGTTCCAGCTGGGGCTTCTGCCTTTGCAGTGCACTGCAAACCAGCTCAAGAGCCTCACTTGGCCTCGTCTTCCCAGCACGCCCAAGCTGCCTTTCTCCATCCCAGAAATCCAGCACTGTCTGCTGAGGTCTTACCCCTTTGGGTCTGCCTTTGCATCCTCCAGGTCTGCTGCGCTGTGACGCTTCCTATCAGCTGGGACGGCAGAAGCTGAAGTAGCATTGGAGCTGGGGAGGAAGCACACAGGCCTCTGAGGTCTCAGAGCACAAGAGGCTGGGGCCAAGGTCTCCCCCTTCCCAGCTACCTTCTCACAGGAAAGGGGAGGAATTATGTCTGCTGGTAAGGCCTGGTCCTGGCATATGGGTAGCACAGAGGCCACTGTATGTGACAACACTGTATCAGCCTTGGGTGTGACCCTAGCACCCAAGTTGAAGACCAAGCTCTGCCCCTGGCCAACTCGGGGTCCCTGGGGAAGTCTCCTGGTTCTGGGTTCCAGGATTCTGCACCTGACCTACTCCTTGGGGTTTGTGGGAGTCGAGAAAATCATTCGCTACTATGGCTTCCCCAATGCTCCATGCCCTCACGAGAAAACAGCCACTCCCACTAGAGGACTAGTAGAAGAAACAGAGCAGAAGGTGACAGCCTGGGAACACACCACTGCTTCCCATGGTCCCTTAGTGCCCCTGGAGGCAACTGCCCTTCCCAGCCACCTGCCACATGCTCCCTGGGACTGAGCCCTGTACCATCTCTTCTGAAGCTCTGCCTCCTTATGCCTTCCCCTCTCCACGCCCCCCCCGCCACCTCAACTTGGGTCAGTTGGTGCTGGGTGTATCACCTGTCCCTCTTCTCTCACTGCTGTCAGGGCACCTCCCAGGCTTCCCTTTCCTGCTATGGTGGCCTGATGTGAAGGTGACACGAAGCTAAGAAATATAGGACTGGTATGGGACTGGAATGAGACTGATGCCGGATGTAGTCACCCTATACCCTTACCTGATGGCCACTTGTCCAGGCTTGCAGGACTGAGAACCGGCACTGTGCACATCCTGATCATCCATGAAAGGGGTGACGTTAGCAGCTGACCACAGCCTGAAGAAGAAGGCCAAACCTGGTCTTGGTTCAAGACGTTGTTCTGTGTGTCTACCCTCTCCCGAGCAATCCTCCTGTCTACCTTTTGTCCCTCACAGGTGATAGGAACTGAGAAGCTGCTCAAATGGGTGCTTGGGACACCATACTTATATCCCAAGGCAGCCTGCCACCTGGGGCTTGTGAGGCATAGTGGGTAAGTGCACACTTCCTGGAGGCAGGCTGCCCCGATTCGAGCTGTGTGACCTTGGACACTTTACCCAATCTCTTTGGGCCTCAGTTTTAACATCACTGATGTGGGTGTAATAATCATGTCTGCCTCACAAGTATTCTGAGAAGGGTAAATGAGCTCATGGATGCCAGGTACTTTGATTACTACCCAGGCCATGACATACACTGATGTGTTCCTGTTATCACGGGGTCCTGTGGCCTTTGGTGGAAGCAGCACATCTTCCCAGTGCATCTGTACCCACCCTTGCAATGCAGATTTATTAGGGGCTCTCCCACCCAGCCTGATCAGGATCAAGCCACAGTCCCTCTGTAACCAGGCAGACACACTCACAGCACGCTGAGCAGTCACCACCTACCCCCTCCACATTCAGGGACAAAAGCCTCCACAGGAATGAATGCAAAAGGAGAGACGTTTCCATAAGAAAGAAGTTTCTCAAAAATCATTGTCAAACTAAGTGCAGTTAGCCCTCCCATATACAACTGCAGATCAAAAACATTCGGGGAAAGGTTGGGCTTGGTGGCTCAGCCTGTAATCCCAGCACTTTGTGAGGCCCAGGCAAGAGGATTCCCTGAGCCCTGGAAATTCGGGACTAGCCTGGGCAACTTGGTGATGAGACCTCATCTCTACAATAAATCACAAAAAGATCATTCGGGCATGGTGGCGTGTGTCTGTAGTTCCAGCTACTTGGAAGGCTGAGGTGGAAGGACTGCCGGAGCCCAGCAGATCAAGGCTGCGGTGGCCATGAGCATGCTGCTGCATTAAAAAAAAAAAATCGGGAAAAATATATGTATATAAAAAGGACAGTGTATCTGCAGTGAACCCATTTAAACTTTTTTTTCTTGCCATCATTTCCTAAACAATACAGTATAACAACTATGTGCATAGCATTTGTGTTGTACTAGGTTCTATAAGTAACCTAGAGATGATCTAAAGCATACAGGAAAATGTGTGTAAGTCACAGGCAAATACTATGCCATTTTCTCAGGGACTTGAGCAGATTTTATATCCGCAGAAGGTCTTGGAGCCCACCCCCATCGATACTAAGGGATGACTGTGAAAGACTGAGTTAAAAATCATAAAAGTCTAGAAGATTCTTCAGATGATTCTGCAAGTTACTTTGAGACCTGGCTTCTTCACTTTAAGAAAACAGAGTGGGGCAACCCCCTTGGGCCCCCTCCCACAGTGGAGCTTTTCTGTCCTCTCAAAACTCCTGCTGGAGAGAGAGAGAGAGAGACAGAGAGAGAAAACAGAGTGGAAAGCAAAGACTTCATCTCAGAGGCAACACAAACAAGAGGCCTAGAGGCTTCCATGGTGGCCAACAGCAAACTCCATCATCTGCACCAGGCAGGACCCTGTGGGCCGTGGGGAGGGACACTGAAAGGCGTGAGCAGGGGAGAAATTTTATCTAACGTCCTTCTAAGAAGGTCCTTCTGGCGGGGGTGGGGGGGTGGAGGCTCACATCTGTAATCCCAAGATTTCAGGAGGCTGAGTGAGAGAATCACTTGAGTCCAGGAGTTGGAGACGAACCTGGGCAACATAGTGAGGCCTCGTCTCTACAAGAAAGTAAAACAAAAACAAACAGCCTGGTGTGGTGGTGCGCTCCTTTAGTCCCAGCTACTCAGGAGGTTGAGATGAGAGGATGGCTTGAGCCTAGGAGGTTGAGGCTACGGTGAGCCATGATTTCACCACTGCACTCCAGCCTGAGTGACAGAGTGAGACCCTGTCTCAAGAAATAACAGAAAAGAAGATCCTTCCGATGCCTCTGTAGACAGCAAAAGAAGCAGGCTGCACGGGAGGGTTAGGACAGTCCTTTCCACTATCGGCAGCTCAGGGAACCGAGGCTCTGACCCAGTGGCCTTTCCTGCTCAGAGACGGTGGTTATAGAGGCCAGGGGCTGCTGTCTCCTTCCCGTGCTGGCTTGTGGGCCTGGATTTAGATGTCAGGGTTCTGGCTCCAGGCATCAATTGCAAACTATAGTGAGGGAAAGGGGTCCCTTGTGGGCTGGGGCCAAAGGAGCAGCCAGGAGGGCCAGGAGAGCTCTAGCACAGTCTGGCGTTGGGTCATGTGTGCCGACATCTGCATAGCTGGCTTTTGTCCCCAAGGGTGACTCATGCTTGGTTTGGAACCACTTAGGGACAGGTGGGACCTTGCTCCTCCCCAGATCATGGCTGAGAAAGTAGCCCCTGACTCTGCTCAGGACTGGGAAGCCAGAGCCCAGCTGGGGATGCTGGTTTCCCAGTTCGTCCCTCCAGGGCCTCACCTCTTCCTCTTCCTCTTCCTGGACCTCAGAGCAGAGCTGGCCAGGGCAGGTGGTTCAGGAAAGGAGGGGCCGTGGGGCAAGAGCCAGAGCACAGGGGCCTGAGCTCAGCCAAGAAGTAAGAAGGCGACGACTCATCCGCCCCTGGGTCATTCATTCATTCATTTGTCCCTGTACACATTTCCCACATAATCGTTCTACCTGGGCTGGACCCATGGCAGGGGACAGAGAAAGGAAGGAGATTCCAGCACAGGTGACTCCAAGAGGTGAAAGCCCAGGACAAAGGCCGTGTTGGGGATAGGGATGAGGAGAATCAGTGTGGCAGCTCACCCTCCTCTCTCAGAGCTGATATCTGCTCCAGTCAAACCTTCAGGTGGGGGCCCTTCAGCTCCAGACCCCACGCTGCCAGCGCTCAACTGTGCACTTGACCTGTGAGGAGGAGAGAAGCATTTGCTGACCCTGCTTGGGTTTTGACCTCCTGTAACCCCAATATCACGAGAGTGGATCGCCAGTCCAGAAGGACAGGCCCTTGACTGCCACCCTGTGCCTCTCTGACCGGAGCCCAGCTCATCCCAAGTTGACTCAATCACCAAGAATTTCTGTGTTTCCAGTGGAATATTATGCAGCCATCAAGAAGGACAGATACATGGACTTTGTAGCAACTTGGATGGATTTGGAGTTGATCACACTCAGTGATCTATCACAGAAACAAAGAACAGAGTACCGTATGTTGTCACTCATAAGCAGACCTCGAACAATTATTATGATACTATAAGAAAGGGATTGGAAGCTGGGCTCGGTGGCTCAGCCTGTAATCCCACGCCTTTGGGAGGCTGAGGTGAGTGTAT